TTTAATCTCCGTTCAATTTGCTCTTTATGTTCTTCTAATTCTTAGAACTAAAAAAAGGATGAAGAGTTGGTTGTTAATCGAGATAAAAATTAAAGATCTATTTTTGCTTGAACTAGTGTACACTTTTGAAACTTAAAGTGAAATAGATATAGTTTGATACTTAGCAAAAGCGAGAAAGAAAGGCTGAATTCAGCAGAAAGAGGAATTTTGCAGCTGTTGTCTTTAATATGATTAGTCTTATTCCTAGTTCTTCACAGGATCTAAATGTATAAACTAATCATATTTAAGAATTTTACAACTATTGCAAAGGTGCTTTTTCTACTAAACGCAGCCAATATTCTAATGCAGTTTAGTACAGGAATCAAAAACAACCTACATTGGTATAGAAATGTTAATTCCAAGATAGATTATCTCGTCATCTTTTTTCCTCCTCGCCTTTTGATCTATCATAAAAATTTCGCGATATATCGCCAAAAGTTTTTCATCCCGGCTTCCCGCCAGCGAGGAAGCGTCTCAAGCATTTCTAGTTGATTGCTCATGTCATGCAGGATTTCCCAACGAAACATCAAGTGGTTGAATGAAACCTCAAGAGCGCGCTGCATAACGAATTGACGACCAAAAAGTCACACTTACCTATGAGAGTGTTCTACTAGAACTCCTTAAAAATCACTTGCGATGGAGTCAGATCCACGCTACAACTACACTGAATATAAAATGGCGTCGATTTTAGTCTTTACCATCGATCTGCTCAGCCCACTCTTCCATGTTCGTCCCTCGGTCTTCTATTAACAGTGCTGCCACCGGCACTTGTACTCCGCAGTTCAAGTGTAGGTTTAATACTGCAATTTTCGTGAGAATTGTTTTCTAATTGTTGACGTTTCTAAGTCAACGATCAATCTTAATTGTTATTCAATGATAAATTATTTTTTTGATTAATTTATCAATCGAATTTTAATTACAACGAGATTTTGCTAAATCTTTGAAGTCGAATATTGACGTAATACGCGTCTTATACGACGGAAGTGGATTATAAAGAGGATTTTTTATTATTTCTACATAATTAATTAATGCATATGAATATATAATACATTCATCCAGGATTGGGTAAAATGCCTTTCGAATTCCATTTAAAATACTAATTGTGAACTTTTAAAAAGTGTATTTAAAATGCAAAATGCAAAATGGGTTTTTCGAATCTATTTTAAATGTAAAATGGATAAATAAGTATTTTAAATAGTTTTTCAAAATAGTTTTTCCCGCCCTAGCGAAAGAAAAATTTTTACAAAAAAATACAGAAAAACTATATAAATTGAGACAAAATCTTAGAAATCCTTCATTTTTCGTAGATATTCGTAGAGTGACGTTGTTTGAAGGCGAAGAATTTCTTAGTTTTTCAAACAAACAACACTACTCTACGTTCCCCTACAAATATCTACGAAAAATTAAGAATTTATAAGGTCTTGTTTCAATCTATATAGTTTTTCGTAAAACTTTTCTGTTAGGGTGGTATACATTGGTGGTATACATGGCATACATACACAAAATTTCGGGGAAATAAAATTGAAAAAGATCATATTGATGTAATTTTAATGGAAAATAAGTAATAAGTAGATTGCGGAGATATTTATGCAAAATACTTAACTAAATATTTTGCATAAATTGCATATTTACATATGGCAATCTCAACCTTTTTTATTTTACTTTTTAATAACTCTTTAACGAACAATGATCGACTGCTAAAATTGTCCAATGATTAACATTCAGTTAAGTATTTTGCATAAATATCCGCAGTCTAGTAATAAGGGTCAATCAGTTCACATGTGAAATATTACTGACTACAATCATCAACGAGATATCTTTCAAACCAAAGATCAATGGAGAGACCATTAAATACAATGCAGACGTAACGTAGAACAATGAAATGTATTGAATTCTAGTATCCATTTATCATATGATATTCTCAGATTTATTTTTCAATACTTATAGCGTTTTTTCTTGGGATACACTAGATGCAGTCCTCGCACCGTACTGCGTGTAAGAGTTATACTCAGCTACATTACACCAGAATGATGTACACCATGGTGCGTACTACATTATTATTGCGCTAAAACCCTATTCCCCTTTGATTTCCATTTTCAAATTTTAAATGTCACACTGGTTCTACACCATCCCTTTGAGATGCTGTAGCAAAATCTCACTTCGTACATAAAATTTGCACTATAATGTAGCCACAGAAACACGGTACACCGAATGAGTTCGCTTACCATCAGCCATGGAAACACGATATACTGTCTGAGTGTTGCAGTGGGCGATAGTGCAGCCAAAAGAAAACGCTAGTAGACGGCAAGGATCTCGCGAGCGTTGCAATGGTTTGCAGGCATATACTTAAGAAAATTTGCTCCTGCGTATGTGTATGTGCGGATAGGATTGAATCCATGGACCAGATCCATGGACCGGATCCATGGATTGTTAATCCGCGGACCGATCACTGAGCCATTCAACGCCTCTCTTAATTTTATTTAAAATTTTTGCTAAAAAGAGAATTGTCTGTAAAAATTTTTTAAACTTTCATTACACATTAATTTACTTATTTTATTTTCGAGGTAAGAGAACTCCCATGATACTCACCATGATAGGATAATTTTTATTCACAATTTATTATGTTAATTTGTGTTGTTTCTGAGGAGGGCTCAAAAGTGAACTGAATCATGTACGCTCGTTTTAGTGAGTAAAGAAGTTTCACACTTGATAGATATATTATTTGCACGACGTCTTCTGCGCTTGACTCCTACTGCCCGTATCCTTTCCAGTTCCTTATTTTATTTTATTATTAAATTTTCATTATACACTAACTATTAAGACAAACATCTCTTCATTTTTTATTTTATAAAGTTCAATACACATTTTGTAAAAAAATATTTTTCACATCGTGTTTTAATATGACTTCTGAGAACCTTTCTTTGTAAGCAAAGAATTAAAAGGCAAAGCGAAATTTTATCGAGTGGTTATAAATATGGATAAATATTAAAATATAATCACAATTAAAACAATATTCTAAAACTGTTACATTGACAGCTTATGTTTCTTTGACGACTGTTTTTAAGCAGTGCGACTTTTGACTGTTATTAACATCATTCAAGAATTGGAAATAAATTAATTAGTAAGAGCGAATTAATATTTATGTAATGTTATATTTAATAAAAGAATTATTTTATCATTAAACATAACACTACATAAATATTTTTATTTAACGCCAATATTATGTCGCTTATTTTTACCTCTTAAAATAAACAGAGAAATTCAAGATGAGAATACAGCGCAATTAGAGAGGCGTAAGCTGTAATGTCAAAAATGTTTTATTACTTCATGAAAAGGATGATGTTATCATTATTCCAAATTGATTATACGTTTTGATTCGCTTTGGAATCCTCTTCAGCATAAATACAGAGATTTCGAAGTATTTGAGGAACAGATTTTCAAAATGCATTTTGTCCAAAGTTTCATTTTTTTAGTTAGAGATGGCAGAATGTTCAGAATGAATCAAGGACTTATATTATAAGCTACTCTTAGATATTCAGAAAACATGTTTTCATAGTTAATTTATATGTTGAAAAAAACGTAGAAATTTCGAAGTGTATTATGTTTTTTAACTAGAGATAAACAAAATGTATTTGTTTAACATTTTTAGCAATTGTTTAGTAATTTTGTTTAATATTTCACATCCTACTGATTGATATATTGTTATTTTCTATAAAGTGCATAGTTTCTTTCTTTTTTTTCATTTTCTAAAAATTACAAATTTTGGATAAAATGTATATTATCTATGAAAATCTGCTTCTCATTTATAATTATGCTATAATAATTTAACAATAAATTTGTTCGGTTTATAGCCTTTTTATCTTTTTTGTTCAAATATACGAAAAATTTTTTCTACCTTTTTAAAAAATTGCTACCGATGAACATTTTTCGACGCATTACACACAATGCCTTACATAAGAATAAGTTTTGCAATAAAAAATCTCGATAAATGCGATAAATAAAAAATTAATGAACTAATCTCTTGTAATCTATTTTCTCCAATTGCACCAAAGGTCGTAGCTGTTCCGCAAATATCCTCATGTCCTCTGCTATGGCATCCTGTCCACTGGGAGCCAACACGCTGAGCTCAACCAAATAACTCTGTGAAATCATTTCCGGCACACCTTCTGGCACTTTACCCTGGTTCACCTTGAAGATCTTTGATACAGTGATTTTCATTCGTCCTTTGCGAAACATGTAGCCACGAGTAACATATTCGAAGTCCAGTTTACAGCCCAACTCGGTGAGAAACTCCACTACGGTGTTACTTGTAGCGATGTCGATGCTACTGCGAACAATCGTTGGTCGAGATTTATCACCAAGTTCAGGTTGGCCAATATACCTCAACTGCCATGGCATGTCCGCGTTGCTTGCGTCCAGAGTACGTCGTACTCGCAGTAATAGCGGTTGCTCCTGTGGAGTACTTCTGAAAAGAAGTCAAACAAATATTTGCAACTCGATATGTAAATCGACTTTGATTACATTTTTCATAGATATATTTGTATTTTTATAGATACATCTATAAAAACACAACGTTGACATGAAAGAAATGATTTTACCTGCGGATGCTGAAACACATCTCATGGTCGTAGAAGCCCTCAGGTCCATGATCAACATTGTCACACAAACCACGAAGTCTGTGCAGCAATACTTCTACGGAAGTATCCAACACTGATCCCTGCAGTAGATACTCCTGATTGGGAATAATGTTGGACTTAAGAGCAGCAGTTAAGCTGTCCATGGCAGTGCTGATCGGAGCAGTCATGGTGGCTTATATCAACTTCAATGAGGGGTAACAGACTCAGACCTATTTGTGGTAAATAAAACTAAAGAATCCCTATTATAGATGGAAATTATTGATATATTACTCGATACCTCTCAAATAAAAGTTCTACATAGTGTCCATTTACTATAAGCTACAATAATGATACAACTCAAAAGTTATTAACTTTTAATTGTTTGTTTTAGTTGTTGTGCAATAAAAATTTAAGATTTAAAAGATTTAAAAGATTTTCCATTCTTTTATAATCAGTTATTACACTTAAAATTACATTTCAAAATTAAGGTTACATTCAAGTAAGGTTAATTTTAAATGATCCAAAACATTCAAATTTACTTTCTAAAAAACTTTGTTTTTTTGAGTTGTAGCAAATAAGCAATACGACTTTTCACATACCTCTGTTTTTATATATTATCTATAGCATGGAGTTGAAATAATTTAATCCTTTCATACATTATTTTTTCTCGGAGATCGAGGAAGTTCCCTGTATTCCGTTCTCTACATTACGCCTAACCTCAGAGTAAACTATCAATTTGTGATTTTATAAATGTTCTAATTAATGTAGAACAACACTTTTTCATTTTAGTGAATTTAGATTATATTCGTTTTTTATAATTCTTATTCGATGTTAAGTAAAATATACCGGCTCATATAAAGTAGCCACAGCAATGTCGCTACGCTTGGCTTGATCACGTATGACGTAGCATCTTATCCTTGTCGTTTATCAAATATTAAAGAAGGATAAAACGATAGATCATATGTGAAACGGAACCTTTTATTTTCATCTCTCCGACTTTTTCCAAATGAATTTCTAGCTCTCTGGCTAGGAGAGCATGTTTTATGAAAAAGTCTTAACTAAAATTACTTCCATATTACAAATCAAACTAACCAAGACTCATTATCCTTTTTGACGTTTAAATTCTCGAGGTAGGGGAGCTCACCATGATAGGACAATTTTTTATTCACAGTTCATTAATGTTAATTTGTGTTGTCTCTGAGGAAGGCTTAAAAAAAAGTGAGCCGAAACATATAAGCGCGTTTTAGTTGAATAATGAAAGAAGTTTCATACTTCATAGATATATTATTTGCGCAACGTCTTCTGCGCTTGACTCCTACTGCCCGTTTTCCTTTCCAATTCTTTAAAATTACTTCAATAAAATTTATTATTTTAATAAAAATTAAATTGGGAAGAAAAAATTATTACATTTTTCAATAAAGTATGCTGCGTTCTAAATTTTATTCCATTTTAATAAGTTTTTATAAGATTTTAAATTACATATTTACGTATCTAACATTCTTAAAGTAAATTTATTCTGGTAATTCGCATATTTCTTTATGCTAATCAGAGAAAGGAAATTCATCGATATATATATATATACAAATTAACAAATTCGCAGTCTTCACACAATAATAATAATAGTTTTAACAATTGCACTAAATATGCAAGAGCTCAAAGAGCCTCAGATATGAACGTAATAAAAAATACGATTCATCTCCTAATAAATTTAATTCGACGAATTTGTTATTGGCACGATCTTAGTTCCTTGTTAAAACAAAGATATAATAATGAACTGATCAAATGATCCATAAAAATTGACAGTCTCTTTTGGTAGAAATCTACTATCACTATTATAGAACAAGAAATTTTTATTTCAAAACTTACTATTCCGGTAAATTTATCAACGTCCAATAATGGCAATTATTAACGCATTCGTCGCGAATGAAATATTTCGGAATTTTAGATTATATATTCGATACATTTCACGGTTGCTATAAAATATCACCTAGAGACGCATGTTTCATAGTCGTATATTATAACAAAATTGAATTTTTAATTTGATTTTTAATCTATCGAGCCTTATATTATTTCCTTATCGTTATAACAAAGTATTATCGCGCAACATCGAACGATATTAAACTTATTATGGAAAATTCGACAGTCTCTTATATTTCGCAAATCCTTTCCGTTCTTTCTAGCTGTGTTTTCTACACAATTGTTTTTAATTCCTTGCAGTAATTCTATCTTTCCGTAAAATTTCCGTTGTACATAATTGCTTTACTTTAAATGCCAAAAGCATAAGAGAGAAAGCATGGCTAAAAAGAGCGGTCCGATTATCAATCGACGCGTCATTTCGTAATTCTTATAGATAGCCTATCACTTCAAAAATTTGTTCCTAGCTAGGATAAACGCTATTGATGCGTTCATAGAAGAGTAGGTATGGACTGGCAAGCAGCACCTGCGTCAATGACACGCTCTCGACAATAACGTCAGACGTGTACAGCCATTGATCCGCTTTATTTCCGCGTCTGAAGCAAACGAAATGGCCGGAGTCCACTGGGCCGCGGTGTTCGATTACCGCGCACAACCGATACTTGTGTTTACCCTGTATCGTTATGAAATTGTTACCAAGAAACTTCGCGTCACCCTATAAATAAAGAGATTCCAGTAAATTAATTGAACTGTGCCTGGGCTAATCATAAATTTAGATTGAAAGTTGTAGGATTGTAAATTAAATATTTCTGAAAATTCCTTATTTTTTTATAAATTTACTATCTTTTTATAAATCTTTTTATAAATCACCTGCGCGTTTCTCTTTTTTGTCTCCGTATAAGTGTACGGATCTAGCACCAGAAATTCGGGGAACGTGATCTGATCATCCCTTTTAATTGGCATGCCTGAAGAGCTCCAAGTGGTCCTCGGAATGTGCAAGCATAAACACTTAGGCAATTTGCCGAGGGTGAGAGTCTTGATGGCGGTGCAACGCGACGAACATCCATCACATTGCACATCACGCACAATTTCGCTGTCTACGAAACGTGACAGTAACCATTCCAAAGAGTGATGCTGTGGTACGAATGATGAAGTGAGCGGTGGTAATGGTAATGATAATGTCTCAAGCTTATCGTAACGTACTGAAGACTGAAAAAAGAAATGAGGATTAAGATTAAAATTTTGTATTATTAAATTTTGTGTTATTAAAGAATACAATACTTAACATTATTAAGATTAGAATTTAAGATTATTAAAACTAGAAATTATTTTAATAGGAAGCGAGGGAAAGAAAATATTATTATTGATATTTGATTTAAAACGATTTGTTTTAAATACAAATAAATTAATAATATTTAAAAAATTCGAACAAAGGGATTAGTAATAAAAAAATTGAATTACTTTCGTGACAATACCTTCCAGAAACAGTCGCTGCACTGAACTTGGCTAGTGATGAGGCCTGAGAACGGATGCGTCTCCACTGACATTGAAGGAATGTTAGTAAATGACATGGCGGCGCATAGAGACTTCCATGATCCGAAGAGGCTCGTGCAGTCGCCGTTGCCTTGAATGCTTCGCGATAACAATTCTGAGGATCTAGCGAGGATCATACCCGGCCTGCATGTGCTTGGAGATGTACTGGATATAGACGATGTTGAGGTCATCATCTGATTGTTGCAGTTTTTGTCAAAGCCCTTCGGATTATCGGAATTATTCTCCACTGACGCTATGTCATTACAAGAGGCGCTTCTGAGATTCAGAGTATCGCCTGTTCCTCTTACATCTGGATTTATAACCGGGCTTGGTGGCAATGCATCGGACAAACAACCTTTCTGAAATCATAAATAAACTTTTCAATTAGTTACAAGAATTTAATCTTAAAAAATCTTTTTTTGCAACGAAAAGTTTCTGTTGCATACAATAATGACATATTGAATACCCTATTAGCAGGTTGCATTTCAGCATCTAACGCACTGAGAACCACGTGGAACAACTCGTGAGCATCTTGATAACCAGGTCCAAAATTCCACAATGAGCCAACGGAAGAGATGATTTCAACAGGTGTCACATTGCCATATAAGTCATCCGCAAAACCATTAATTTCTATGAAATATAGATTAGTATAATGCAAGATATAAAAGCATGAACATAGAAAATTTAAAAAATTTCAAAAACTTAATTTAAAAAATACTGTTATTTTTAACATTGATCTTTAATCAGTGTTAAAAATAATAGTATTTTTTAAATTAAGTTCTTGAAATTTTTTAAAGATCTTGTCAAACAACAAGATTAAAAACTTAGAAATTAATTTAATGTCCATAGATTAAAAGTTACAATTTTAAATCCACAATTAAACTACTAAAGATAATATCAAATCACAGCCATACTTTTGAGAACAGAAAGCAGTGTGTCAGCAAAGTTCCTATCCTTCTTTTCTTGCTGTTTCTGAAGCCAGAAAATAAACGAGGGGCAAGCAGCCAATGCTTGTAAAAGAGAATTCAGGAAACATGTGTATCCTAAATTGTTAATCCCGACAACTCGACCTAGAAGCAGATAAAATAAAGTCACAATTAACCTAGAGAATTTGTTTTCTATTAATTCTCTGAAGCTAATGCCAAAATTTGTAATATAATTATTGACGTGAGTCTGTAAATATTAATGTGACTCATTTATGTTAATTAATAGACATTAATTAATTTCAAGAAACCAAAATGACATAATTCTAATCAAAAAGAATAAACCAAAGTATATTTTATAATGATCAAAATTTGTAAATGTAACATAAAAAAAATTGAATTGTTTGATATTTTTGACAGAAATTTATAACTGAATGGGTTCAATAGATCCATCATCAGCTTCAGATAATTAAGTATATAATCTTGTGATTGAGATAAAATAATCAAAAGAAAAATGTATGTAAAATTATCTAGCGTAAATAAAACTAAAATCGTAGTAATTGTGCTTAAGTAATAAATCTTTAACAGAATTAAACCTAACAAAAACACTCTAAAGAAATTATATTTATTTGATCTATATAATACAATAAAAATTTATACTTATATATATATATATATATACATGTATATTATTTTTTCCAACACTAAAAGATATCGATAATGGCTATATTATTTTCTTTATACTTTTATTACACAAAAATAAAGCACAAGGATAAAAGGATAAAAGGACGTAGTCTCCCTAATAAACGTTTGATGAACGTAGCCCAAACGTCACCTTTTTTTCTAGGTTTGGGCGACGGGCCCCACAGAACGAAAAGGCCGACGGCGATGGCGAAGCCCACGCCGGCAAACACTGCAATCTTCTCCACGTCCATCGCGCACCAAATCGATCAGGGCTTTCCACTGACAATCCCTATGACGGAACGCTTTAACCTATGTTCCGGCTAATGCAACTCGTCCTTGACTTTCGTTGGGGCATACTTCCGTGACGATTAAGCCTTCCCCGAGGCGCACCGTAAATAACGAAACTCACGTGGTTGACAGGACTAAGTTTTAGTGAAAAATCACAAAGGATAACTCTTCCGCACGGGTCGCGATTGTCGCGAATCGGTCGAATGCGCGAACTTGCTCGACTCAACGACACGAGCGACTTACAGGTTATGGTTGATCGACGAGCGCAGCGCGATGCGCAATAAACCGAATAAACGAATAAACAGAACGAATCACATTCAATGAATTTGAAACAGCGAATTGCAGCCAATGGCTGCGTTCAGCGGACTCAACAGTTGAGTAAGCGCTCGCTGTTATTGATGTATTCTTCCAGATTTAAAATGCTAAATGATCTAAAAGAATTCACTAATAACAATGAGCGCTCACTCAATTGCTGAGTCTGCTGAATGCAGCCAATGCAATCATAGGAGGAGTTAGAGACTAGAGTCCTATGTAAAATTAGAGAACTACTATATTACTACTATATTAACAACGTTGATTTGCAGCTATTAATTTTTATTTTTGATAATCTGATATAAATAAATTTACTATGAATTATATTTAAAAATGGATTTATTTAATTTAAAATGCTTTTTATTAGAAATTTTACGTAAATATAATATTAATTACATTTAGTATCACTAAAGTATGTATATTTTCGGAGTA